GATAGTGGTGGTTGAATTTTCCCCCAATGCCATAAGTTTACCTGACGTTTTCACTGAATTTTAGGTAGGCTTGCCTCCTCAAAAGGTATTATCATCCAGGAAGGACCGACCTCGCTTAGGTTTTATTGCCACCTGCAGCGGGACTTGCACTCGGATTGTAATAGTGCAGCGAATAATATCGACACGCTGACCCCTACCCCACATTATCATTGTTCAAGTCCCGCTTGGGGTACTGATGCAATCTAGGCGAGGTCGAAACTACAATCAACTTCAGCCTGGATGAGAATACCTTTTGGGAAATAAAGGCTATGCTAAAGTAATATGAGATGTATTCACCCAATTTCGTTTAATATGAAGGACTGGTAGAAGAAGAATTTTCCCACAATGATATGAGTTGAGCTGACGTTTCCATTGAATTTCACATAGTAGTAGTAGTCAGGAAAACAATACTTAATTCGAAAAATATGTCAAATTAAATGTAAACTTAAGCCTATTCAAATGATTGTGGAAAAAATAATCTGCTAGTCCCCTTATTACCTTAAAGGAAATAGGATGAATACATATCATATTTAGCTTATTCATTATCATTCGGGGTAGACTACGATCTTGCCAAGGTCCCATCAGCACGAAGTTAAAATTTGATTGTGTGCTTCAAATGGCGAATTGACGAGGAGCTGCCTTAAAAGATTTTAGTTATAATTCTCAGCTTACTAATGTAGCTATCAAAATAAATAAGAAATTCAATAGTCGATGCTGGAAATAATAAATATTGCGACATAGGACGCAAGACTAGTTACGTTCCATGAAGTCTCCCTGTCGCTCCGATCAAGTTTCAAAGACTAGATCAAGCCAACACCATACAAGTAGAGGAAACTGTTTTTATATAGGAGGCCCAACCATATATATGAAAATAAAATACTATTATTTTAGTCAAAAACCATACCGCTCTTCCTCTAAACGACAAAGTTCTGCTTTGCGCGCTTCCCTTTCACGCTCCTCAGCAGCCGCTTCCTCCTCTTCACAATGCTTCCTGCGCCGAAGCTCCAGTTCTTCTCCCCAGCGAGCGATTCTTATAGAAAGCCAAAGGCGGTCAATTCTTTCCCTTTCCTCTTCAGGCAGATTAGCATACTCAGACTCCTCCATCTCTTCAAGCCATTGGAGCTCACGGAGATCAGCTTCGTTGGCCTCAGCCTCTGCTCTAGAGGCAGCCTTGTTTCGTGCCTCCTGCAGTCCGCGGACGTAGTCAAGACGCATAGTTACTGCAAATAGGTAACGTCGTCGACCAAGCACTCTAAGAAGGATGGCTAGCATGCTTGATTGGCTTGCTGAAAAGAGACAGTCAAGACCGTCTATGATTATGCCATTGGCGCAGTCAGGCAGCAGAAAACGCTCGGATAAAATAGCAGCAATCACCAAATCGGGTAGGACGCAAGAATATAGAGGCACTTCAGTAGTTCGTGTAGTTGTAGAATCATTTGGGCCTGTAGGCCAAGGACTAAAGCCACCTGGGCTTGTGGCGACATTATCCTTGACGGCACCACCACCAGTTTGGGAATGCGGTACCCGAGGAAAAACTGTAACTGTTTCTTCCATAGATGGCAGGTGAGCGGTAAGATGAAGGTTCTGTGACCATGGCGATGTAAGTGGAGGAGGGCTGCTTGGCAACTGAATTACGAGAATTAATGGCTATGTTATAGTGGGAAATAAAATTCTTTCGTTCATAAATAGGTGTCAAAACTTTCAGTAGATCATATAAATATAGGCGTATTCACCCTATTTCGTCTAGAGTGATGAGAGGACTGGTAGTTATTATTTTCCCACAAAGTATACTAAACTAACAGTCCTCTAATTACTTTAGACGAAATAGGGTGAATGCACCTAGTAAAAACATTTTTAAAATCCTGTTCAAATTATTTGGAATAACAGATAAAGGAGCACAGTAGCATTTAGCTTAATCGTTTATCCTAGTGGTACTAATCTGTCGCATCATTTCTTTGGGTAGTTCATGATATAGCTCGCCTTGCTTCGCATAGTAGATCTGTGAACGCAAATTCTGAGTGCTTCAAAAGATTATGGAATAGCAAAGCCTACTTATATTCCTTTGAGTTTGATACAATTGATAGCATTATTAAAGACGTTTGTAGAGATGCATGCTAATGAGTGAAAGAGAAATGGTCAACGTACTATACAGTGAATAAACAACAGACTCCAGCCCAAAGAATCGAAAATGCGATTTACCCTAAACAAAAATACCAATATATGTGACTTATATGTGTTACATGAAATGAATTATTCGATTGATTGGTGTCATCAGCCATGAAAGGTTTACATTTATTTTGACCATGATAAGGTCTAGTATGTGCTAATTGCTAAATTTTGGTTTATTTATTCATTTGTATAAAAAAGGATAGGTAAAATTAACCAAAAAATAACAGTGTACATGTCAGTATAGCACTTGACCTACGGTATTTTGTCCTGGTAGTTGCAGACCTCGATATGAGGGTTGACCTGGGGCCTGTGCTAACTGGCTTGTGATGGACACATTCTGTTGCTTGGCCCGAATGTCCGCCTTGCTAGGATGCCGAACAACCGATGTTCTTGGCACGGTCGTTGTCAATATCAAAGCCGTTGGTACTGTCACAGAGCTGTTAGCATCAGGTAGTTGGGAATGAGGAGCAGACGGCTGGCCAATTGAGGTTAGAGTTTGCCGGTCAGGATGGGCTAAGGGACCTTGATGAGGTCCGTTAAGATGAAAAAGGCAAATATAGAGATGAAAACGATCATCGTAAAATACTGTGCACATTACACCCTTGTATCTAGCCGTCAGTCTTGCTAAATCATTAGTCCAAGCTAATGCTTTAAACAGAATTATATGCACAGTCATTTAAGAAAATCATGCTTATAGTTTTAGTTGTTAATGTGATCATTGAAGCCATTGCCTTTTTTAAGAATTTACTAACTGTCATCATTTGTTCAATAATTTATTTTAATGACTATTTGGCATGGTAAGTAGATTTTTTCTGTAGCGATAGCAATCTTTTGGTATAAAAAACAAGAAACGACAAAGTATACAAATAATGCCAACCCACAAACGTCGAGGTTCAACATTGAACCTAATCCTAGCGAGCAGTACCACAACATTTGTGGGTTGGCACACATGAGACTATAACAGTGGTTCTCAAACTTTTCCTAGTCGCGGCGCCCTTTTTCAATTAAAATTTTTCTAAGGCGCCCTACCCTAAGTATGACTATTCGTAAGTAAGAGATAAAAATCAGTTAAACTCGTGTAGATTTATTTTTTTTTCTTTATTGAGATTAAATTAATATTTAATAATTAATGTAATGGATGAGCCTGCAAATCACTGCACATTTTCCCAAATTGAAGCTTTTACAATATTTCGCGGCGCCCCTGTAAAGAGGCCGCTGCGCACAGTTTGGGAATCACTTAACTATGGCATAGGAAGTCATAGACTTGGTATTACGGATAGAAACAGAATAGACGC